ACATCCTGGCTTCCCTCATGCCCCAGCCCCCAGCAGGAGGCGCCAGTCTCCATTTCGTCTGGGCCAAATGTTCTCCATGCTCCCAGACAGCATTTGGGCGAGCGGGCACCATGCCAGCCATGGCCACTGAAACCAGCCCCACCTCGTAATGGCTGTTCCTCCAACCGGGAAGGACCTGGGCCAAGGGTTTAGCTAGGTCCTGCTTCCCCCTCACTGGTGTCTGGGGGGCCCTGCCTCTGGCCTTTGTTGGGACAGGGACAATGTACAGGCTCTGCCCCTCTCTGTACCCAGCCCATAGAATGGAGCCAGAGCCCCAGGGTCAGTCTTGGGGGCAGGGAAGAATGGAATGGTTACCCCACAACCCTGGGCTCCTGCTGTGTCACAAAGGGCCGGCAGCCAGGCACACACACACCCAGGTCTTTCAGCCCATTCCAGGCCAGCGCGCGCCTGGTGAATCTACAAACTGCTTAGTATCCAAGGGCTGAAGTGCTGAGATCTCGCCCCGGAGATCAAGTCCAGGGTCAGCCAGAGGTTACCAGACTCAGCACAGGAAGTGCTGTCTGGACTCTCTGCCCTAAACAATGGTCCCTTTGGGCCTCAAGCCGCAGCTGAGCCCCTTCCTCTGTCACTCTCTGCCTTTGTGTGCCTTTTGCAGAGGGGCACAGCGAGAACTGCGCTGCCCACTAGCCGCCCACACTCGCTGCACATCGCAAGGCGGCCCTTATCCTGTCAAGCGCATCCACATGTGCTTTGCACCAACCCTGTGAGCCATTGAGCAAAGGAGCTGCCAAGGCGCTGTGTTGGGTCAGTGGAGAAGGAGCTGGAGTCTCCACTGAGCAGAGGGGCAGGCCCAGCTTTCTTGCATTGCCAGCTGCTTGGCTTAGGACTGTCTGGAACCTTTGCAGGTGAAACACAAGTGTATTCTAGTGGACGGGCACTAGATTAGCATTCAGCACACCTGTGTCCCCCCCCAGATCTGTCACTTACCTTACGTGCTGCCCTCCCACTCTTCAAGTCTGTTTCCGTTCCCATCGTCTAGATTGACGTCTGCTCTGCGGGGCCTGGCCTCTCATTGTGTCTGTGCAGTGGCCTGTTCAGTGGGGACCTGCTCTCAGTGAGGGGGTGTTCAGCACCTGGCAGAGGAGGGCCTTGGTCTGGGGGTTTTGCAGCACTCGGGAGCACAGTGAGAACACGACCACTCATGGCTGGGGATCTGTGCAGCATCTGGCACGAGATGGCCCAGCAACAGGAGGCGGTGGTGATGTATGTTGTGCAGTGCCTGGCAAGACAAGGGATCAGCCTCAGTCTGTGTGACAGGAGCCCTGATCTCAGCCCAACACCCAGCCTGACAGGGCCCACTCTTTGGGGGATGCTACTGCCATATAACCCATAACAGACACGGTACAAAGCAACGGAGAAACAGTCTCAGGGGCACAGCTCCATCCCTTACCCATCTCTCAGCCCAGTTTGCCCACAGAAAATGAGGACAAAAACTCCAGAGTTGTACGAAGTATAGAATCAACTGTATTCCCCTTTTCGGTAATGTACATGGGTTGAAAGTTTTTTTTTTTTGACTTCATCATAATTGGTAACACTTTACAGTAACATTGAGGAGTACAGGAAGTTTACAGGGTAAATATGCAGAACCACAGAGTATTTCCCAAAAACAATCAGGAAGGGGTTTCTGTTCGTTAAAAAAACAAACAAACAAACAAACAAAACGGATACAAAAAGAATAAATTAAAAATTTATTTCCTCCCCACTTGGAATGCTGTAAAGGAAAAAGATTGGGAATTCTATTGTTAAAATAAACCAATCTCTCTCAATATTTTAAAAGAGGATATTTATCAGTGTCGTATTTTTAAAATAGTGTTTGCAACCTTCATTTCTCCACCCAAGCCCCTCCCCCAAACAAAAATAAAATATTAATAATGTACAAATTAATTTACAGTTGATAATGTTCATTATACTCCTAGAGAAACGGCCAGAAACCCCCCTCCTTCACCCTGCAGACAGTTCCGTTCAGTGGCAAAGTTTGGAATGAAGGAAACTCCAATAATAATTGGCATCTTTTTAAAAAAAAGTTTTTTGTGAGAAAAATACAGAACTTTAGCTCATGCAGTGGTGTATGATGCTGAGAGATGCCCACCAAATTTCACCATGGCTAACATTCTCCAAAGCACCTAAGAGATTTAGGAGCCTACATTTCATTTTCAAAAGGTTTAGGAGCCTAAATAGCTTGGAAACTTTGTGAAATGTGACACCTTTTCTTTAAAAAGCCCCCACCTCACAGCTTGAAAATTAACATTACATGATTTCCGTCCACAGCTTACAATGGCAGCTCTATTGCTTGCTCACTTGTCATCTCGCTGCTAACCCCTTTTGGCATTTTAGCATCTAAGGCGAGGGAAGTTTGCAAACACCTGCATCCGATCGCTCTGAAAAAAATAATTCCAATCCAAATTCTTCACCTCCCTACATCCTTCCCAGCTATGGACTTGGTCCTGGTAGGGCTAGAGTTCTCCAACCCCAAACCAGCTAGACAGGTACCAAAATGCATTGCTGTCCGAACCAGCTGGAAAGCCCTCCGCAGAGCAAGGGCTGGTGGCAGCGACATGGCTGGAAGCAAGGGGCTGGCTCTGCCAGCCAGTTTGCACAGAATGATGGGCTGGAATCTTGCAGAATCGTGAGCAAAGATGGAAGTTGGGGTTCTGCGGCTGTGCCCAGAGATCATTGAGGGATCCTACCTTGAATTCGCCACACTCATGCCCCAGCGGGGACTGACTTTTTTGTCTCCAGCTCCTTTTCAAACATCCTTCTAAACCCTCGTCTCCTGTGTTAAACTGTCCATACACATACTTTATATAATATATATTTATATATATATATTTTATATATATATATAGTGCTCACTTTATATATATAGTCATTTGAAAAACCTTTCCAATTCCCCCAGGGAGGGCAAAGGTGGGGAGGGGATGGCAATTGGGGTGAAGGAAATAGTCCAATGCCCCCTCCCATTCGCAAATTACCATCAACAGCTGCTTAACCCCCTGTTCTGAATACCTTGAAAGAACAATAAAATGTAAGGACATGCTCTGAGAAGACACTTAAAGGATGATCACAATAGCACCTTGGCATGGAGAAAAGGGGGTGGGAGTGGAGGAGGCATGGGGGAAAAGGAATTATGCAATTTCCTGGAAAACAAAACAGAAAAATATTTGCCCATCTCCCCCACCCCCACACATCCCGAGCTGATTCCCCCAAACCAGTCTCAGCTCCCATAACTGTTGCTTCACAAAAACCACCGCTACCCCAACTCTAACCCGACCCCTCTTTGTGAGTAGCACCCCCTTTTGTTACTACAGGGCAGAAAGCCGAGTGGCTGATCAGTTCCATAGCTGGACAAGATCCATGTCAACTGCTTTATTTACCATCATCACTAGTAATGGATTCATTTTTATTTTCCCAAGAGTTTGTGATTTTGATTGTTTCGTTTCAGTTTACTCCACACATTTCCAAGACTCTGACACATTAACAAAGAGAGAGGAAAAAATCAGTTATAATCAAAGAACCCCCCCCCTTTTATTGTTTTAATGATAATTCCAAGAGAGATCGATATTTTGCCCCCAAAATCTTTGCCCAGCCAAGTTTTCTGAATCCAGCTGTATCCTGCTCCATGTTGGAATTTTGTCGATAGTTGAGAGAAAAATCAAATCTTTTGTATCCCAATTGGATTTGTGTTTCCAAACAGGGCATGGGAAAGGGGTCTAAAAGGGATGGGGAGATGTACCCCCCGAGTTTCATCTGGATGAGGAGTCATGTACCTTTTGGGGCCCATTCATATATATAATCTTATAATTATATATATATAGTCTTGAAGGCAAAATCCTGGCTCAGCTTTATTTAGACAGCTCCGAAGCCTCCTTCAATCCATTTACCCCACCCCTGCATCCTCGTTTTCTGTTCTCTCACCAAATGGATGCTTATTTCCAGTGCCCACCTAACCATGGCATGTGTGATTTGATCGCCCCTCCCCTATTCTTTCCCCCACTTCGTTTGCTAAAAAGGAAAACCAATGAAATGAACTCGCAATATCTGAAAGAATTTGGGGTAGGGGGTAGAAAGTGAGCATGGTTTTGATTTTGAAGTGGTTGTTGTTAATTTTCAGAGATGAACTGAAAAAGTAAGTAAAGGGGGAATAAACACATTGAAACCAGAGCAGGATGGGGTTGGGGGTGCAGGATCCACTGGTTGCCTCTGTGTTGCAGAGGGAGGAGAAAGGAAGGCTGGGAAGTTTTGTTGGTCTCTTGTATCCAAAGGTTGGCATGATTTGAGCCGGTCTCACCCTGCAATCGTCTCTCTCTCTCACTCGCCAGCAGAGGGACAGGAGGGAGGCAGGGCCGGGGGGGGAGGCGGAGACTCACACATAATACTCCTTGTCCTTGTTTTTCTTGCTCTTGCTGGGGGTTTTGGTGGCAGAGGTGGGTTTCTCCTTGACCACCGTGCCATTGCTCTGTGCCGAGTTGCTGATGTAGTTCCGGCTCTGATCCACCTGGTAAGAGCCTTCGTCCCGGTTTCGGTACTTGTACATGGCATAGAGTAGGATGAGGATGCACAGGGCGGCCGCTGCCACGATGCCGACCACCATCCCCGTGGTGCTGCTAGATTCGCGGATCACCTCGACAGCCCCTGGGGGACCCCTCTCCCCTGAGCCGGTGGGGTTAGCTGTGGGTAGATTGTGGAAATTGGGGGAAGACGTTATACCTGGGTACTTATGCCTGTTACGGTTGTCGAGTTCAAAAGAAGTGGGCAGAGGGGGGTACTGATCTGGGTGGGACTTGGGGGCCTCGCGATTGTTCATTTTGCCGGCAGGGATGTTACGGACCAGGTCAGGAGAGGCAGTGGAGGTCAGGAGCTCGGGGATTGAGGATGAAGCCGGCACTCCTGTCCTAATGTTGGGCCTGAAGCCTTGGGACTTTTTAGATGCTCCATCTGGCCTGGCCAGCAGGGTCCTATCTGTGACCAAGGGGAATGTGGTGTAAAAATCTTCATCGTCAGTAGGGGGCAGGCTGGAGTCGAAGACCTCGCCCGAGGCGTAACCGGAGGCCTCAATGCCCTCTTCGCAATCGCTGTCCTCTTGGTCGGCTAAGCATGGGGGTTTTTGATTGGCAGAGGGGGCTAGGGTGTCTCTGGTGGTCTCTATTACAGTTAGGAAGGGGCCAAAGGTAGGTGGTGGGGGTATGAATGGAGACCGGGTGGCAATTGGTGGGGTGTCTAAGGAATCTTCGGTAATTATGGGCAATACTAATTCACCTCCTAGAATAGAGAGAAATAAAGGGGGAAGAGAAACAGAAAAGGAGAGATGGGTTAATATGAACCGGAGAAAAAACTGCCACATTTGGACACAAGAAACAGAATCAAACTGATCAACTGAATTTAAAACTAGACTCGTTCCCCAATCTCTGGCTGCTTTTTAAACCAATATTTACAACTGCTTTTCGTTTTAAACTGTAGCTTTTTACAGCAAAATCTAGAGAAATAATAAATTTTAAAAAAAGAATTAAAAAAATAAACCAGTCATTTAATGCAAAAAAAAAAAATTAAACAGATTTTCAAACAGCAGAATTAAGTAATAATAAAAGGAAAAAAACCTAATTGCAAGCTGCTTTTTACATTTCTTTTTATTCCCCTCCTTTTCTCTTTCATTTAATTTCATTTTTCCCTTTTCTTTTCGTTTTAAAAATAAGAGAGCAAACCACAGAATTCAATCAACTTACATCAACAAATTGGCCATGTGATTTTAGCATGAAGAAAAAAAATTACAAAAAGAAAACTAGGTAAGAATGTTTTTTTGGAGAAAAACAACTTTTTTTCTTTTTTTAACATCTCTTTTCTCTAACGTTCATCTTTTCAATTGTCTATCTAGCATTCTTTCTTTCTTTCTTTCTTTCTTTCTTTCTTTCTTTCTTTCTTTCTTTCTTTCTTTCTTTCTTTCTTTTTCTAGATTTTTCCCTCTTTTTCTTGATTAATTTATCCATAGTCTTTCTGTTTAGATACATTTTCTTTCCTTCTCTCTATCTATATTCTTTTATCTATTTTCTTTATTTTAATCCAGATTCATTTCTAATTCTATCAATACTGTTTTCTACGTTAATTTCCGTGTCTGTCTATATTCTTTTCTCTGTCTAGCTGGATTCTAGATTCCTTCTAGATTCAGCTATAGTTTTCCTTTCTACACATATTTTCCTTTTTAACTTTCATTCTACCTAGATTAATTTTTCTTCCTACATCCATTTCCTTCTTTCCACCTTCATTTGTTTCTTTCTATATTAATTTAGCTACTTTTTTCTTTATTCGTTTTCTTTCTAGATTCATTAATCTATGGTCTTTCCATCTAGATGCACTTTCTTTCTTACTTACTTTCTAGATTCATTTTTGCATATTTTAAGATCTTCCCCTCCCTTCACCCAGACACACTTTTCTATTCTGTCTGTCTGCATTTTCCATTTCCACCTCCCCACCCCACTTTTTTTTAACATCTGGCAACCAAAGTTGATGCTGAAATGACAAGGACACTGCAACATTATTCTGGTCCTATGCACTGGTTGTAAATTTGGCAGGTGTGTGTTGGGAGAATACAAGTTTGAAACCATACATAACTATATTTCAGTAGCTGTTTTGACAGATCTATGGGTCCTGTCTCTACTAGAACTGGAAAGAAAGCAGATAGAGGGACAGATGCATAGCACCACTGAAGTCAACAGCAATAGAACCCAGGAATCATGACTACCAGTTCCATCTGCTTTGCCTGTTAGATCTCACCCCCCATGCAGAGCTGGGGATAAAACCCAGGTCCCAGGAGTCCTGATTCCTATGCAGTTATATCTATTGCACCAGCTGAGGATGCATACTCCAGGGGTGTGACAGACCAGATCCAATATGAACCATTCCCATCAGCTGGTTTCCAGTTTCCAACAGTCTGTGGTAAAGCCGTGGGCTCTCTAGCTACACCAATCTTCCTGTCAGCAGCAGGATTAGAACTGCCAACCCTGCTGTCTCTAAGCTGCTTCCTGACTGGTGCTAAAAGAGGTTTGCAGTTCCCTGTGCCTGCCTCTACACTAGGGTTTTATTTCAAAATAACCCCCCTTAGGTCGAATTACAGCCTATCTCCGACTTATGAACGGGTTACGGACCAAGCAATTGGTCGTAACTCGGTTTGTTCGTAAGTCGGAGCCCATTGAGTTACATGCAACCATGCTGTTCGTAAGCACGGATCACGTTTGTAACTCGGGGTCTGCCATTTATGACATTTTTGGTCGTAACTGCGAATGGTTGTAAGTCGACTGTTTACAATTCGGGGACCAGCTGTAATAAGTGGAGTGTTCACACTACCAACCCCATTATTTCAAAATAACTGGCCACTTAGGGTATGGTTACACTGCAGAGGTGTTTTGGAAAAATGGTTGGTTTTCCAAAAAAAGTCACTTACGTCCACACTGCTATCGTGTTCTTTTGAAAAAAAAAATCGAAAGAACAGAAGGGTTTTTCCGATATTGGTAAACCTCTTTCTACGAGGAAGAAGCCTTTTTCCGAAAGAGATCTTTTGGAAAAAGGCATGGAAGGATGGAGAAGAGGGAGTTCTTTCGAAAGAAGAGGAAAAAGGAAAACGCACAGGTGCCCTGGTGGCCACTCCGTCCATAGCAATCACAGCTGAAATACGAGATAGCTTCCATTCAGTGTGGACGCTCTCTTTCAAAAAAGCAGATCACTTTTTCGATGTACTTTGGCAGCGTGGACTCTCTCTTTCAGAAGAAGTTTTTTCAGAAGATCTCTTCTGGAAAAGCTTTTTCCAAAAGAAGCCTGCGGCCTAGACACAGCCCTATTTAGAAATCTGTTCTCCTGCTTTCTTTGAGGAATAACACTAATTTCAAAATAGTAATTTTGAAATAAAGCGAGTGTGGACACTCCGGTGCTGCTATTTTGAAATAACTACTCCCCAGGGTAATTCAAACTAATTACTCCGCAGTGCTTCCTGAGGCTCTACATCGAGGTAGCATGTCCACATGAATGGAGCCTGCCTCGGACTCATTTCGAGGCTTCCCCATAGTGAGGATGTAGCCATTTCAACTGTGTTATTTCGGGAGTCATTAAGTCGATGTTAGTTATTTTGAAACCGTTTCCTAGTGTAGACGTGCCCTATGTGGGACTCTGTTGCAACGAGCTGTGCTCTGATTCCTCCCAGGAGAGGGCAGTTGTGGCCTCTGCCCAGCCACTTCATTACAGCGCAGCCTGTAGCAGCAGTGCTGTGCCTGGACAGGGATTATTGCTGCCTGCCAAGATAGAACCCAAGGACACTGGGGATCCCACGGCCAAGCCCTTAGGCTGTCCCAAGGGGTGGGACTGTTCGCAATCCTCCAACGCGCTCATAACCCTGCATATCTGGTCACACCACCAGTGGGCACTGTGACAAGAGAAGGGGTGGCATGAAAATGCACCCAACAGAGCCAGCACTCTCCATGATTTACAGACCAAAATCTGCTCTACTTACAGGGCAGGAACTAGCTTGGAAGGGAAAAGAGCTACTCAACAGCATAAAGCAGGTGGTTTAGTGATGGGGGAGTCAAGACTCCTGGGCTCTTTTTCTAGCTCTGGATGGGAAGATGAGTCTAGTGATTACAGCAGGCAAACTGGGAGCCAGGACTCTTGGGCTACGTCTAGACTGGCATGATTTTCTGGAAATGCTTTTAACGGAGAAGTTTTCCGTTAAAAGCATTTTCGGAATAGAGCATCTAGATTGGCACTGAAAGCACTTTTTGCGGAAAAGCATCCATGGCCAATCTAGATGTGCTTTTGTGCAAAAAAGCCCCGATTGCCATTTTCACAATCGGGGCTTTTTTGCGCAAAACAAATCTGAGCTGTCTACACTGGCCCTTTTGCGCAAAAGTTTTGCGCAAAAGGGACTGTTGCCTGAACGGGAGCAGCATAGTATTTCTGCAAAAAGCACTGATTTCTTACAGGAGGAAGTCAGTGCTTTTGCGGAAATTCAAGCGGCCAGTGTAGACAGCTGGCAAGTTTTTCCAGAAAAGTGGCTGATTTTCCAGAAAAACTGGCCAGTCTAGACACAGCCTTGGAGTCTATCCCTGGCTTGAGAGGAGAGGGGTGACTGGTAGTTAGAAATAATGGAGATTGCCTATCTCCTAGAACTGGAAGGGACCTTGAAAGGTCTTTGAGTCCAGTCCCCTGCTTTCACAGCAGGACCACAGACCATCCCTGACAAATTTTTGCCCCAAATCCCCTCCTCAAGGATTGAACTAACAGCCCTGAGTTTAGCAGGCCAATGCTCAAATCACTGAGCTATCCCACTCCCCATTAGATTGGGGTGGGGGTGAGGGTGGGGGGGGTGGCTGTTGCCTGTCTCTCTGTTGCGTTACTGGCTAGTCACTTCATTCAGCTACTCCTTCATTTAGAATATCAGAGCTAACATGTAGAATAGTGATAGAAATGTAGCCGTGTTAGTCTGGGGTAGCTGAAGCAAAATGCAGGACAATGTAGCACTTTAAAGACTAACAAGATGGTTTATTAGATGATGAGCTTTCGTGGGCCAGACCTGAGGAAGTGGGTCTGGCCCACGAAAGCTCATCATCTAATAAACCATCTTGTTAGAGCTAACATGATCACTCTGCATGGGAGGCTGAATTCGTTATATTCAGTGCTTTGAGTTCCTGAGTAGCATGTGCCCCAGGTGGTGTGGAGTAATATCAGAATCTTTACAGGGCTGTGAGGGGTGTTTAAACAAGCTGTGTTCTCAATGCCTCCCTCCCTACCTAGCCAGAGCACTGGGTCAGGGGAGGATGGTTTTGGGGAAAATTAGGGGTTATAGGATGAACAGGAGAAAAGGATAAAACTTGGCAGGAGAGAAAACTGTAGGGGACAACCCTGCCTACAAGTGGTGGGGAGAATAGGCTGTAGGTGCCACTCTGAGCTGGTGGAAAATACACTGATTGTAATGACAGCTTCAGAGACACAGTGTGGGGCCCATAGCTATCTAGCTCTTTGCAGAAGAGGCATCAAGTGTCAGGGAGTTCTGCAGGTTAATGATGCAATGCACAAACGGAGTCACTTGACATGTGTTGCCTGGAATTTCCTGGGGGTTCTTGAATGGTGAGTGATGGTGAACAGCAGATCACTGGTGCCCTTCTAGATCCCACCCATACTTAGACTCCTCTAGCATATTCCCTTTCCTTAATCTCCTTGCTGAGCTAAATGCCCCAATGTTGCCAGCTTCCTCTGCTTCCAAGTCTTGAATTGTTTTCATTGCCCTTCTGCACACACACTCCTGGCCTATTCTGGACTGGTGGAGTGCTGCTGGGCACTTACCAGAGGTTGCAATTGACCTGCTAGGGGGTGCTGTGCTGCAGGAACTAGGGTAGGGGCTGAGTAGGACTCTCTCCCCAGGGTCGGTACTAACCCCAATTTGGCACTAGGGAGCACTGTGCTTCAAGCAGTGGTGTATATTAGCTATAGGGATAATCAGGTGCACTACAGTACCGGGTGAAGAATCCCTGTATAAACAGGGCTCCATTACCCCACCCCAGAGGCAGCTGCATCTCTCCACTCAGAAAGGGATCCCTACATAACCAGCCCCCATGTGCCACCCAAAGGCAGCTGCATCCTCACATTGGGTGAAGGATCTCTATAGCTCATCTACCACAGAGTCACATACATTAGCTCAATATTATCATTAAAAGCCGCATTCTTTGTCAGCTGGGGAAAACAGAGTCAGGGCTGCATTATAGTTTGAAAGGCAGCAGTAAATAACAGAGAAGGAAAAGCGTCTCTCTACAATTGCACACGCCAACGCCAAAGCCTCCAGTGATTGACACAAAATCTACCTCCCCTTCCTGGACAGATCAGAAATGGAACCCACCATCCCACTCTGAGGCCCACATGCTTGGGGGAGCGAACATAGGTCTGTAACTGGGCTGCAAACGTCTGACCAGACCCTTTATTACAAGTCTTCCTAGACCATTAGGATGATAGGGTGTAATGGGATTCACCCAGGGGTATGACCCAGGATGGTGGAGTGAGGTGGGGTGATACTGGATTGGTTGGGGCAATGGTGCGAAAGATACGGAATTGGCTGGGCCTCTGGGTCAAAGCTGGGATGAGGGGATACAGGGCTGGCTGATTCTATGGGTCTGTGCCTGGGCAGGGAATACTGGGTTGACTAGGCTTATGGGTCTGAGCCAGGAGTGGAGTGGATTGGAGTGGAGTGGGGAAGGGAGGGACAATGGGATGGCTGAGCCTGCAGGTTTGAACAAGGGGAGATAGTGGGCTGGCTGGGCCAATGGGTCTGAGCCAAGGGAGGAGGGTATCAGGCTGGCTAGACCTAAAAGTCTGAGCTGGGCGGGGAAGGAGGGTGGATACTGTGCAAAGCATTCCTGGCTGACATGGCTATGTCCCAAGCTCCACACCATGGGCTGTGTGTGTAAGCAGGGGGCTTCCCTCACCCCAGCTTCATGTGAGCCATCGACAGGGGTTCAGGGGCCACCAGGAGAGTTTTTCAAGGTTCTTTCCTGTTTGATGGTCTCTCTTGATTCCAGAGCTCCATCCCGCCCCGCAGCACAGTCACTGCCCCTACTGCGGGATGCATGGGCTGCAGCTCCTGGTGCTCCCCACCCCCAGAATTGGGGACCCCACACCAACATCACCCATACCCTGCACTCCCACCCTACTCCTGCCCAGACCCCTCACTCCTAGCCTGCTTCCCAGCAGCCCCCTCTCACACTAGAGCCTAGGGGGGCTCAACAAATCTACTAGCCAGGGGCCCCTGGGCTCTGGCGTGCGAGGGGGATGTGGAGGAAGGGCTCTGCTGCTGCTGCTGCTTTCTTCCCTGCTTCTCACTTTTGTGCAGCCCCCAAATGATTTTTTGTGGGCCAGCGCCCCCCACCTCAGAGAGGTTCCCCAGCCCCGCATTGCTATAACGCCAGGCCCGGACTCCAGTTCTCCTCTGCCCGCCCTGCCCCCTTTGCACCTGTGCTCTCCTGCAGCTGCCAGGCCAGGGCCGGCAGCCCATTGATTGCAGGGGGGAGAGGACAGAGGCAGGCCAGCCCATTGTCTGCAGGAGAGATGGGGGAAGAGGGAGTGGGCCAGACCATTGTTTGCAAGGGGGGGAAGAGGGAGCCGAGGTGACCAAGCCGTTAGGCTCTTTCTGCTCCCCGACTCCTCAAACTTCTCTGCTGGGGGTGGGGAAGGGAAGCGCTCAGCTCTGCCTGCCTCCTGCAACAGGCCTGAATGGTTGCGCCCCCCCCCCAGCAGTGGGTAGGGATCCCCGGGCGCATGGGCATATTGGTCTAATCCAGCCCCCCCGCGCCGGGAACGCTGGGCTTCCATTGGTGTCTCTGTCATTGTGTCGTGGGCTTGGGAGCAGGGGAGGGGAGCGCACCCCAAGCCCACAGGGGGCCGTGACTGAGCCTGCTCCCCTTACTGCCCCGGCTCCCTCCGCACGCTGCTGCCCCCAGCTGCCTCCCAATGTTAATTAAAAGCCTGCAAGGAGGTGTGGCTTTAATGGTTTTAATGAGCAGCCCCTGCCTGTTTGCTGAGCCCCCTCCCCCCCCGCTGGGCCTTTCATTTTCTCCTGTCTCTTCCCCTCCTCTGGTTTTTATTGTGATGCTTTTGGAAGCATTTGGCAAGCGCTGCACAAAGGAGCCGCATTGCCTTTGATCACGGAGAGGAGAGAAACAACATAACCGCGGCGCCGTCCGTACGGCAGGGGGAGAAGAAAGGATGCGCCAGCAATTACTCAACTCTCCAGGGAGGGTCCCCATACGGGGGGGAGCAGATAATTATTCCCTTGTTTTTTGGGGGAGCAGAACAGCAGCAGCCTGGGTGTTCACACGGACATTAGGGCTGGCCTAAGGTTGGACTCGTAGGCTCTATCCCAGCTCTGGGAGGGGAGTGGGGTCTAGTGGGTTAGAGGGGGAACAGGGACTCGCTGATTACATCCTATTCCCAGCTCTGCCACTGATCTGGGGCACGTTCCTTCCTCTCTTGATGCCTTTGTTTCCTCTCTCTCCTTGTCTAGTCAGACTAGGCCCTTTGGGAATGGGGACTGTCTCTCACTTTGAGCCAGTGCAGCACCTGGCCAGATAGGGACCTGATCTTATTTGTAATCTATTGGCACTCCTGCATAATTCAGAAGAGGTTTGTTTACACCATTCAGGGACTCTGCCCCTGAAGTTCCTGGTAGCAGGTCCCTAGGAGGTCTGTCCATCTCATACCTCCAGTTACATATCCTAAGGGGGTGAGCATCCCCTGCAGCTCCTGAAACTGGGGCCCTTCTACAGTGCTGTGTCTACACTGGGCTACTTATTCCGGAAAATCAGCCGCTTTTCCGGAATAAGCTGCGAGCTGTCTACACTGGCCCTTGAATTTCCGGAAAAGCAACGATGCTCTACTGTACAAAATCAGCCGCTATTCCGGAAAAACTATTCTGCTCCCGCTCGGGCATAAGTTCTTATTCCAGAACACTGTTCTGGAAAAGGGCCAGTGTAGACAGCCCAGTAGTCTTTTCCGGAAAAAAGCCCCTATCGCGAAAATGGAGATCGGGGCTCTTTTCCGGAAAAGCACATCTACATTGGCCACAGACGCTTTTTCGGAAAAAGGGCTTTTCCGGAAAAGCAGCCTGCCAATGTAGATGCTCCTTTTCCGGAAAAACTGAAAACGGAATAGTATTCCGTTTTAAGCTGTTCCGGAAATTCATGCCAGTGTAGACACAGCCCAGGGGTGTGTGTATGTGTGGACACACACTTGTGAGGAGTTTGGATGTGGTGGGTGCACGCGTATGCTAAACTTGGTGCCCTAACAGCTCAGATGTGTGTGTGCTAGCCAAATTACAGATGTTTGTGGACCTGAAGGAAAGAAGAGAGAAGGAACCCAGAAAGGTCTGCTAAGTATCAGTGGCTTGGAGGTAAACACACCAAACAACGTAGATGTGCAAAAACCCATTGCATAAACAAGTCAAGCCAGTTATACAGCGGGGTATGGCACTATTGCAACCAGGAGGAGGGGGAACTGACAGCTGAAATACAGAGGCGGCAAAGAGTGAAAGGAAACAAGAGTTTTATCACAGTTCACAGAAATATCCCTGCAGAGTTTGTTACTTGACTGCTATGGATCAGCAGCAGGGCTCAGTGGGTACAACATTGGCTGAGGTTCCTGGCTTCTATTCCCCTCTGCCATTGTCCTTGCAGTGGTTCCTTCCCCTCTTGGTGCCTCTGCTCCTCCTCCTTCCCCTTAGTCTATTTAGACTGTGAGCTCTTCATGCAGGGAGTGTCTGTCACTGAGGGAGGGGGTCCAGCTTCTGACACAAGAGGGACCCCAGTCTTGATCAGAGCCTCTAATTGCTGCTGTGAGGTACACAAATACAGGTTACAGCCATGCATGAGTACCAGGGCAGGATGTGCCTTCTGTAGCTCCAGCTGTGTGTGGGTGCACAGTAAATGCACAGAAGAATGCAGCTGGGTTTCATGCCCTTCTGGCACAAAATGATGCATTGGAAATCAGCAGCACTTGGATATTGCGACAGGGGCCTGAGCCTCCAGTGACTGTAGCAGGGATTGAACTTGAGCTGTGCTTCTAAAAATAGGGCCATGGGCTAGGGTACGTCAGTAGCTACAGTGCCTCCAGTGAGTGCCTTCTACTGAACCACCCATTCTGCTCCCTGCAGCACAACCCCTCTATTGTCATGCTGGAGTCAGCACTAACTGAGGGGAGAGCCCCCCGCTGAACCCTCATTGGATTCCCTTCAGCACCGCCCCCGCTAGCATCAGCTCTGACTCAGTGCAAAAGCACCTCTGGGGAATTCCCTACAGTCTCTGGCCGGAGAGTGCCAGCTGTGCATGTCCAAGCAACATCTCCCACCCAGTGCCCATGCAATGCCTGCCATGACACAAGCTTGGTGCAGCTCCAAATGTCATCTCACTGGCCCCTCTGGCAGAGAAACAAAATACAGGACTATGTAGCACTTTAAAGACTAACAAGATGGTTTATTAGATGATGAGCTTTCGTGGGCCAGACCCACTTCCTCAGATCAAAACCAGGTTTTGATGCATCTGACGAAGTGGGTCTTTGCCCACGAAAGCTTATACTCCTACACTTCAGTTAGTCTATAAGGTGCCACAGGACTCCTTGCCGCTCTTGTATAGGACAGATCCTCTGTCCCTGTAAGCAGGATCTCTCTGGGGCCCAGGAAGGCATACTAGCCGGTGTGAGGAGTGTGTGTTCAGGGGGCAGATGTACCTGATGCTACCCTGGCTCTGGGCTAGGAACCTCACACAATAGGGGAGGCTGACTCACACACATTGAAGGATCCTGGTGTGCCCCAGACAATAAAGATTGGAGCTAATGAACCAGGCCTGGTGCAGCACCAGGCACTCTCTGCACTGCCAGGCTCATAAATCCCCCTTTGCTTCCCGTTGGGGAGGAAACAGCATACATTTCAAGCCCCACCAAGGCCTGGGTGGTGTGGAAAAGGGAAGGGAGTAGAGAGGAGGGGATTAAGAGCAATCAGCAGTGTGGATACTGGGCGGGCGGAGTGTCACTGAGCAAGCCTTTAGCTCATGCTGCGATTTCTATTCCATTTAGAGAGGACATAAAACCACATCAATCTATGGCTGGGTGCAGAAGCGACTCATGCTTTGGGGGAGGCAGGAGGAAGAGTAGTAACACCTGACTTCTGCAAATAAAATCTAGGGGGCATTTGATCCCTCATCCCTCCCCCCATGTCACCTACAGTTGGGTGTGTTTCTGCATGGAAGATGAGGTTCTAAGGGCAGCCAATGCAGTGTCTCCATGGACGAGGCTCTCTGCTCTGCTCACTCCTGCCTGGATTTATGGCTCTTTCCTCGCTCCCTCTGCTCCACACTCTCCGTTCTATGCCTCTGGCCATAACAACCCTGGCTGTGATCTTGTCAAATCGTAGCACTTGGCCACAGAGGGGATTGGCACAACAAATTTGCGCAAGACAGTGGCTCTCCCTGACTGAGCTGGGTCCTTGCGCTGGTAGGGAGAGGGACAGGACAAACCCATGGGGCTGGGAACCTCCCCTTGCAATCAGCACTGACCCCAGCATGGTGCTAGGGGTGCTGTGCTGGAAGGAGTGGGGCAGATATTACAATAGGAGGCATGCTTGCCATGAAACTGGAATTGAACTCAGATCTCCCCAGCCATTAGAACCACCCTTCTTCTCCCCCATCACCACTCCAGATCAGACCAACAGGACCATCCAGCCCAGTATCTGCCCCATTCCTACCTGGATCAGACTAATGAGCTCCCCTCACCTCAATGGCCTCATCACTCCAGATCAGCCCAAAAGGCCCCTCTAATGCAATAACCCCCCTGCCCACTCCTCTAATCCAGTACCCATCTTTGACAGTGGCCAGTTCCAGCCACTTCAGAAACTTCAAAGACTCCTGCAGTGATGGGTCCCCTGCCCTCAGCGGATCCCACAAGGGAGAGGCAGATGCTGGAGGAGTTCAGTTCCTTCCATAGTCCCTGGTTATTATGCTGAACACTATCTCTGCACAGTCCTGCATCTGTCTAAAGCCCAGCACATTTGTTAGACTGTGGCTAAGTTCTCAGTCCTGGGGCAATCAAGTGGCAGTGAGTTCTGCTGGCTAATGGCATGGTGGAGGGGAGCATTTCTGGGAACCTGACACTTTTCATCCTCTCAGTCGGGCAATATAAGCAGGGGCCAATCAACGCTCCCAAAGTCCTCTGAGCTCCCATTAATCACTGCCTCGCTCTACCTCAGTGGGCTCCAGCCTTTCTAAGCACAAGATCACTTTTTGAATTTAAGTGCAATGTAAGATCTAACTCAAACCCAAATACCCTTGCCCCTCTTTGTAGCCCATCCCCAAGGCCCTGCCTCTGCTCACTCTGTCCTCCCTCCCTCCCTCCTTCTCCCTCCCTTTCACCAGGCAGGGGCAGAGGGTTGGGGCACAGGCTCTGGTATTGGGCTAAGGGATTTGGAGTGTGAGGGGGCTCTGTCTGAGCTGAGCCTAGGGCAGGGAGTTGGGCTGCAGGAGGGGATTCATGACTGGGGTAGGGGTTTGGAGCTGGCGCTTGCTGGACAGTGCTTACCTCGGGTGGCTCCTGGGTGGGGGTGCAGTGGGGCTAAGGCAGGCTCACCTCTGCCCTGGCCCTGCACCATTTCCAAGGCAGCCAGCAAACTCCCTCCA